TCAGGGAATCAAAATAAGAAAGTCTCCCACTTTTATCTAGAATGGAGGTGGAGGGGAGGGGACTTCAGAGAGTAATGATAATTGAGCCAAAGGTACAGATAAAAAAAGGGGACTGAGAGGTGGGAAGGCCAGGCACAAGGAAAGCAAGAGGAAAGCCACATGAAATAGCACACTTGAGAGGTTCTATGGAAAAAACAGCACATTCTGAGGGTGTCTGCATTTGAATCCTGATAGGTGTTCTCAGGAGTCTCTGATTGAAGAGGTCCCCAAATATTTCTGAAATGCCCCAGCAGGCTGGCATCACTGCATCTCAAGGTCATGGTTGCCCAATCCACTGTCTGGCATGGTTCCCCTCCCCACCTGGAGGTGACTGATTTCTCCCACATCCCAGAGCCACAGCTGAGGTCTTAAGCTGCCTTCCCTATGAGGTAGATGAGAAAGGGAGAGTTGCTCACAGAAAAAACACAAAGGTGGGGGTGGGGGAGATATATTTATCTTGAACCTGAAGCCTCTGAACAATTTTCCACATGTCACTTTAATCAAATGAGATACTGGTGTGGAAAGGTTCTCAGTGAGAGAGAGTGACTCATTCATGGTCATAAAGCTGATGATACAGATAATTTACATCTTGATTGAACACAAAGCCAAGTGACAGCTTAGGAGGAAGATTTTTCTTTACATGTTTTGTCACTGTATTTCAATCAAAAAATGTACAAATTACTACACATGATTGAAAACACAGAAGTATAATCTATGTGTCTTTTATGTTCTCCTGTAATGTCTAGCTCAGCATTGGGAAAACAGTAGATGCTTAGTTAATTCTTTTTTTTTTAATATTTATTTTATTTATTTATACATATAAAGCTGTGGGGAGTGGAGGGAGAGAGTGGATTCACCAGAGACAGAGAGGGAACAGAACAGGCAGACTTACTGAAATACACTGCTGAGAGGAGCAGTGGGCACACCAGGAGAGTGTGCTGCGCCATGTGGGTCAGCTCCCTGGTGGGGGATCGAACTTGTGCTGCAGTGGCTGTGAATAGTTTCATAGTGCTGACACTTAACCCCTTGTACCATCAAGGAGACCTGCTCAGTCAATTCTTACTAATAAATCAAGCTTGTTATTGAGCATTCATTGATCCTTCTACAACTTGGTTCTCATCAATAATAGCTATTATGTTATCATTAACATCAACTCTTATTTTCCAAGGTTCGATTTTTATAGAGGAGTGATTCTCAACCAGGGCTGATTTTGCTCTAGGGACATTTTAGGCAGTGGCCTCCTGGTTTAAGGTGCTGCTATTGGCATTGAGTAAGGGGGGGCCAGGGCTGCCATCCAGCATCCCACAAAGCCCAGGACAGTCTCCACCACAAAGACCTGTCTGGCCTGAATGTTAATACTGTAGCTACTGATAAACCCTGGGGTAGCAGGGTGGGACATTTGAAAAGTGACTGGAATATTTAGCTCATTTCTCTTGTGGAAGCAGTTCAATGACTTTCCTGCCTAAGCTCATTCAATCTCTTAGGGCAGAAGACACTGGCTTACAGTTTTGTTCTATTTGACCAGCATTGTATTCACATTTTTAGAAAATATGTTGGCAATATTTTCAGGTCTTGTGCTTTTCTGAAAAGATCTGGATTTCTGTCTTCTTCTGAACAATCATAAGATCTGTGACACCATGGCCTGATCTTATGTGTCAAATATTTAACAAATTAGCCCAGGAGAGCAGCATCAATCAGAATGGGCACTCAGTTCTTTAGAACAAATGTCCACTGTAAAAGACAGTGACAGTCCCTGTGTTGGATGCCAATCTGGCCACTGGTATTACCAGCCAAAGAGGTGAGGGATGATGTCCCCCTCTGGGGTGGCCTGTCAAGAAGCTGAGGGATAACGGTCCCCCCTGGGGTGGCCTGCCTTCTCTGACCCCTATGGTCTCCTCACCCATCGACCACTTATGTTTTTCCTATGCAGATTTAATGGAAAACTAAAACCTTCTTATGTTTATGTCCTCATCAAAAGCAGGGGAAAAGAAAAATAAGGATTGCCTGTTTCAAGGAAAAATAAATTTTTACAAGTCTGTGCTTTACCCGAAGTTCTGTACTTAGCCCTTGTACTTTTTGAATTGGTCCTTGTTATTGTGGCTTATGCAAGTTCTCTTTCAAAATGCAGAAATTCCCCAGAGAGACTAAGGCTGGAGGGGACATTCAATGACTTTCTTTGCAAAGCTAAAGTCAACTGCTAGGGAGCTGGTGCTGGGCAAGGCAACGAGGGTAAGAAAAGTGGCTACTACACTTTGGGCCTGACTGAGCAGCTCAAATGCTCTTCCCGGAAAGTGGTGGAGTTGGGAGGTCTGGTTGGTCTTTTTACCTGGGTCTCATGTCCTGCTTTGCTTTTGGAGGGAGAGGTAACAGGAGAAAAAGAGAACTTCCGAAAGACAAGGAGGGTTCACCACTTGAATGGAGTCAATAGAGTCCAATCTGAAGGCAAAGGAAAAGGACATGGGAAACAGGAGACAAGCTGGCAAGAACAGAAGTTGAGGGTCACCGAGAAACTCCTGCTTGTGGTTCTGCCGAAGGTCAGGCAACAGTGGCCCTCTTCTGCCACAGGTAAATGCCATGGGTTTGGATGCCTTCTTGTAGACCGTTGTTCACATAATGTATGTGTGGGGAGAACTAGGATCTGACCTAAATCATAACTGCAATGCCTATGTCCTCTGCTTCTCTGACAAAATGATGTTGTCATTTTTGTCTGCTTCCAACTGTCCAGGGGGAGAGTCATTCATTCTGTCCTGAATATTCTTCTTGTGTGAGGGTGTCCCATTCAGTACTGAATATCAACTATTGACATCTCAAGTATATTTCCTTAAGGGGAGAAATGCACCCCAGAGAATCAAGTTTTCAAGTTCAAGTGATAATAACAACCCCCCTTCACTAAATATTGTTATGGGTTACCTGCTTGGATCCCTCTCTGCTCAGAGAGCTTTCCTGTCCTCTTATCTTTGCTTCTCTGACAATAAACTCCTTGCTTCTCTGCCTAAAACTAAATGAATAAGAAATAGGCCCTCCCTGGTGGCGCAGCACTGAGAATCTAAAGCCACTTCCACATGAGTTTGATCCCCACCTGCCCCGGAGGTGACCACATGGTGTGGCAGACCTCTCCTGACCCGCCTGCTGCTCCCCTCAGCAGTGTGCTTCATCGATCTGCCTGTTCTGTTCCCCACTTTGTCTCTGGTGAATCTTCTCACCCTCTGCATCTCTGGCCTGTACCCCAGTTCTGTACGAATGAATGAATAAATAAATCTTAAAAAAAAAAAAAAGAAAGAAATTCTGTTATGTACCAAGCATTATGCTGGATGGTTTCTAGATACCACTTCTAATTCCTCCAATGGTTCTACTTAGATCTAGGACAAGTTAAGGATAATTAGGCAGCTTCAGGGACAGTGCATATAGGGGCCTAGAGAGAAGGGCAACAAGTCCCAAAGGCAACTAATCCAACACCCCAAAACTAGGAGGCAACAGGACATTCCAGAACAAGGAAATAAAGAAAAAGGACTCTTAGATATGGCTGGGACACAGAGACTTAGTTCTGGACACAGAGACATTAAGACAGTGAGAGAGACCATGGAGAACTAACCAACCACAAAGAGACTGGCAGAGTTCTAGAATAACTAAGGACAGAAGGTCTGCTCTCCCTAAGGCATGAGCCACTTCCGCTTCCTCACCCCGCCCTGGTCTGGTTCCGCCAGCCTGGAGTCCCACATTATGTCTCTTCCTTTTCTACTAAATAAACTTTTTCTTTTTCTAAACCAATTTGCCTCCTCATTTGCTTGCCTGAGCGTCTGTGAAGTTCCTGCTCTGCCTTCGCGAGACACCGACCTGTGGTGGGCTAGTGGCCAGGACCCAGTGCTGTCACTGCAGCCTGGGCTCCTTTCTTCAGGCCAGGCCTGAAACCTGACACTTCAGTATTACTACAAGGTGGGGATAGTGATTTCCATTTTATAGAGAAGGAGACAAGCCCCAACAGACAGATCACACAGCTAGTAAATACTATGGTAGAGAATTAGTCTTGATTTGTCTGATCCCAAATTCCTTTCCAACATCTGCTCGTCAAGACCCCTCTAATCTCAGGGTCCAGATGGGTGATATTGACAGGTATGGAGGCCCACATTAAGCCTTAGCTGGAAGGGTGACTTGAGTACCTCCTTCCCAGATCTTAACTCAGCCTACTTGAAAGACACTGTGGGCAAGCAGGAGCAAGTCTCTCCTTTGAGGGTGGCATTCTCTCCCAAAGACATGTCCTGATTTCAGTCACTGCTATGCTGACAGCTAAGGAGTATCTCCCTTCCAGGTGTTGCACAACATTTATTATTATTATTATAATTTTTGCACAACACTAAGAGGTGATCTCTAATTCCTTTTGTTCATTTTCAAGTGATAAAGCTCAGACCAATTAAATTGTCTGCAAAGTATCACAGGGAGAACAAGTAACAAAATCAAATTTGCCACTGAGGGGCTCTGACCTCACGTCTATGTTATTTCCACTCCAGTGTTTTCCTCCTTCTAGAAATAAGGCATGGAAAACCCAGGGCCTTTTAGTTCCTAAATCTTACCCCTCGAAATTGGAAAGAACCCATTTTAATACTTGATTTTGGTTTCTCCGGTGCCTGATGGAAATTTCTGAGTCTGTTCCTCTCGATAACTTCCTCTTTTGGGTGGCTTGCAGAGGGCATTTGTGACCAGGTTCCTCAAGACCAAGGCTCCCCTAAGAGGATTCTTGGGTGCACAGAAGAGGCAGAAGGGGGAAGAAGGCAAACATGAGATGTTGACACTTCCTCCCTCTCCCTCTCCATGACTTCTTTCTTATCTGAAAATATGTCAAAATGCTCTGAGATCTATTTCCACTACAACTTAAACTGAAGTGGGGGATTGTACCACTGGACCCCAAAGTTGGGAAAAGGAAAGCAATTCCAATGCTAATTAATATAAGGAAGTTCACACCTCACCTTGGTAAATGTGAAATTCACAAATCCACCCTGGAAATTCAAGAGAAGGTCAGATTTTCGGAAGCCACAGTTCCCAGAAGCGTGGGTTACATTAGGGTCGATGTTGAAGTATCTCTTTGGTGAAAAAACCTAAACCAAATAAGTAGGTCAGTTCAATGAGACAGTAGAGGAAAACTCTCACCTGGGAAGTGGAAGTACAAGGAGAAGATGAACCTGAACCTCAAGACAAGTGGATGTTCAGTGGAAAATTCAAATGTCCTAGATAACACCTCTGACTTCCAAGCTGTGTGAAATTTATTTTTGTTAAATATAAACTTCTGTTTCAAATGAAAATCTGAATGTAGAAATTTTATTTGAACTCATAAAAAACACAAAAAGGAAAGTATTATTTCTATGTGATTTCTTTAGAAACTAAATAATCTTAGCCCTATTTCATCTCCTATTTTCTTTTTGTTAATCTAGGCTTTTGATATTCATGTCAGTTACCTGGAAACTCATAAGCCACTCACTTCATAGGAAAGTTGCAGAGGCTTGGAAGTTTTCCAGAGAGTTAGGGACAGGCTGAAAACCCTCTGCCTGTGTTGGCTGAAGGAGAAGGGCATGCATATTTAGATTTGGGGTGTGTGTTTTCTCTCTCTTAACAGCCTGTAATAGTCTCCATCTTTGTATCTACTTTAAAACAGATTTGCCCTTTTTTTTTTTTTAAGATTTATTTTATTTATGCATACAGAACTGGGGTACAGGCCAGAGGCTCAGGGGCGGCGAGAGGCTTCACCGGAGATAGAGTGGGGAGCATAACAGGCAGATCAACGAAGTACACTGCTGAGGGGAGCAGTGGGCGGGCCAGGAGAGGTCTGCCACGCCATGTGGTCGCCTCCGGGGCAGGCAGGAATCAAACTCATGCTGAAGTGGCTTTACCTTCTTAGTGCTGTGCTTTAACCGGCAGCGCCACCAGGGAGGGCCCAGATTTACCTTTTAATGGAACTCCCTGGAACAAGAGGAGCTCACACTTCTTTATTGCATTAAAAGACACAGGATATAGGGCGATGTCCATTCTTAGCAAAGTAAACTTATTCAAAAATTTTGAAGAAAATTTCCCCATTGATGCAATGGGTTAAAGTGCAGCACTATGAAGCACGAGTTCGATCCCAGGCCCTGGAAATGACCCACAAGGTGTGGCAGACCTCTCCTGACCCACCCACTGCTCTCCTCAGCAGTGTATTTCAGTCAATCTGCATGTTCTGCTCCCCACTCTGTCTCTGGTGAATCCTCTCACTCTCCCGCACCTCTGGTCTATACCCCAGCTCTTGCATGCATAAATAAATAGATCTTTAAAAAAATTATTTTGAAGGAATTGTTAAAGTCTTGTGAGCCCCACTTACCGATGCTGTGTCTTGAACTATCAGCTCTATTCCCATCTCCGCTTTGATACAGAGTCTGCTTCCATTGAAAACTTGATAAATCCCAGTCTTGGCTGATGATGGCTGAGGTGAAAGTGTGGGCCCAGGAGCTTTGGTGGTCGGTGAGGCTGTTTGGGTGGCATTGTGTATAGCTGTGGCTGGTCCGAGGGTGTGGATGGACTGGGTAGGCTCCTGACTTGTGCTATTGTGTGACGAAGTGGACAAAGTTGCCGGGAGGGTGGTCTGGTTACTGGGCTGGGTGGTTTCTGTTGTGTGGCTGATATTTGATGGGCTAGTTCTGGCTGTGTGTTCTGGTGTGGTGACGGTGTGTGACCGTGAACCAGGAATTGTGCTGGAGTTGATTCTAGTCACATTAGTGACTGAAGCAGCAGTGTGAGAGGTAATGTGACCAGCTGTGGCTTCAGTAACTGAAGCAGCTGTGTGTGAGGTGGTGTGTGAAGTGTTGGGGCTGATTGTAGCTTCCGTGACCAGGACAGTTGTATGTGAGGTGTTGGGGCCGATTGTAGCTTCATTGACTTGAGCGGCCGGGTAAGAGGTGTTGGATGTAGGCAGGTTTGTGACTAGAGTGTGCATTATTGGACTAGTGGATGGGGTAATTTTTGTAGTTGCCAGGAAAGTTGTTGCCTGAGTTTTTCTTGTATTCTCAGAGTTGGAGGTGGTGGCAGCTCGCTGAGAAGTGATGTAATTATCCATTAATCTTGATGCTAAAGTTTTATGAGGCACTTGGTTAGTTATTTGAAGGATAGAAGATTTTGCTGGGGTCTGTGCTGTAGCTGCTGTCATAGGTGGAGGCTCGTCTGTGACATCTGTCAAGACTACTGCTCTTATTGGACTGCCATACTTCGTAATCACTGCAAGTTAGAAATAAAGCATTAATACACTAGCAGCTCACAGACTCCTTCCTCCATGCTCTTGTCATTTTCTTCTCTAAAAACTATTATGCATAGGTATCCCTGGTGGTTAAGTCTCAGCCCTAGGAAGTTACCTACAGCTGTGGCAGCATGAGTTCAATCCCCAGCCAGGGAGCTGACCCACATGGCACAGCAGACCTCTCTTATCTCACCTGCTGCTCTCCTCAGCAGTGTATTTCAGTAGATCTGCCTCTGGTGAATGCTCTCACCTCCCACACCTCTGGCCTCTATCCCAGTTCTTGCATGCATAAATAAATAAATCTTTTAAAAAATAAAACAAACTAAAAGCCAAATATCCAACATAAATCTGGCCAGTGTGTACCAGCAAACTATCAGTCCTGATGTTTATAACTGGAATAGTTCCATCCTTCGTCCTCCTTCCAGGCACAATAACCTGGAAAGTGGACAAACAACAAACAGTGTCCTCTGGGAGTGGGTGAGCAGGCGCACTGAGGGCAGCCGGTCCCTTCAAAGCTGTGGCTTCGCTGTATTTATCCACAGACACTAGTTGAGCTGTAGCTCCTGGGTACTGGGAAATGACTTGGGGAAGCTTGGGGAGAAAGATAAGAAGATTGCTCTTTGCTGGTGCTCTCTGCTCTATATTCCTGAAGTACATATCCAGTCAAAGTTACCTATAAGCTCTATACGATCACTTTTTTCACATTCCATTTATTTCTAAATAGTTATTTTTTGTCATAGTTACAACAATAAGAACTCTAATTACTGGATATTTACTGATCGCTTAGATATGGTTTCCAGGAATGTCTTGTGTTCTAGAGAGTTTATGTTATTTATTCAATGGAAATAACACTCAAAGCAATACTGTTTTACAAACTCTGTATATAACCAAATGTACATGGCATGTCTTGGCCAAAAAGAACCTTTGACCACATAGTTTAGTCAATTCTCAGGTCTCTCTGAGACCCACAAAGAAGGCAATGGGTAGAAGTAGGGTCAGGGTATAGCTCAAAATCTTTCTCTACCTACCCTCGATTCAAAAACACACCCCTGGAGTCCACATGCCAATTCTCCAAGACACTTAACCCCAGCATCTCCTGGGATTCAGGAGACTCAGCAAACAAGATTCTGGGACCTGGACCCATTGCTCAGCCTCTCGAGGAGGTGAACTATCGCAAGAGGCATGAGAAGGTTTTGGTTCCTCTACAGCTATAGGACATGCAGACAGAAGACTAGTAGTCTGCCAGGTCCTGGGCAAGTCAGTGACCACACAAAGGTTTTTCCCCAGGACAGTGGACCCTTGTCAGTCAGCTTTTGTCTGTATCTGTCACACCTACTTCAACTGATAGCAAGGGCCTCCTCTGGGCTGGGTTCCACACCAGCCACTGGGGTGGGACTTTTACCTGAGGTGCTCAAAGCCTCGTGAGACTGACACAGAAATGGACTACTCGCCTGGTGAGATGAGTATTTTTATCCAAGCAGGCTCTGAGGACCATGGGAAAGGGACTCCAACACAAAGAGAAATACTTCAGGCATATGAGAAATTAAACGAGCGTTGCTTTGCAGGTTATCTACATAACCGGCTCTGGAGCCAGGAATGTTTGGAGACAGCAAGGGGGTCCCCCTGATGGACATACCAGGAGGACATGAGGGAGAGGGGACAATGAGGGGGGCCATGGGGACCAGGCCTAGCAGACGTGGATGCTACGCTTTGTCTGCAGAACTGGGGAACATACTAAAGAGTGGGGCTTCATGGCACATCCAGAGGCATGGTATCTCCCTAGGCAATAGAAGCAGCCCCAGCAGGTCTCTGGATGCGTGGACTCTTAGAAAGATTCAGGTCACAGTTTCACATGTTGACCTTAGACCTTATAGCAGAAAGATGGAAACCCAATCTCTGTTTGAGAGTGCCCTGAGGGTTTGGAGAGGCCACACAAACCCTCTAACTCACGCACTCTAGCCTGGCGACAAAAGTTAGGCCTTTTTTCTTAAGAATAGCACCATGAGTTTAAGCTGAGCTTTTGCTGCCTGGAAAAAGAATCCTATGTCCAAGCCTTTTTTCCAGCTGACAGGTGACTGAGTTTGCACCAAGCAATCCAAACACTGGGTTATGTGCCCTTCTGGGAAGGCTGCTTAGGGGGACCTCAATCACCTGGGGTGGGGGAGGGGGGCTCTCTATTGCTTTTGGTTTTCTTCCTCCTACTGACATGTGATGGCAGCAGGCCCTGAAGACTTTTGAAAGTGGAAGGTGCAGCTTGGCTGGTGGGTCCCTGATAATGAGCCTCCAAGCCAGAGTCATCTACATCCCTCTGGACCTGTTTTCACATGACAGAAACAATCATTTGTTTTGCTCAGTTGATACCATTTGGGCCTTGTCTCATATGTGCAGCTGAATCTAAACTTAACGGATACAGACTTAAATCCCCTTCTCATTGTATGGGGAAGGGATCTGAGACCAGGAAAGCAAGACGGACAAAGATGACATAACTAGTTTACTGAGAAGTTAGGTCTCTCCTAGAACATCTAATGGTTTTTGCTAACATTCACTTCAACAAGTCTTTCTCGAACTTACACATGAGGGCTGGGAAGGGCAGTAGAGCAGAGCAGAGAGTGCAAAGGGAGACTGGGAGCTTGCAAATCTCAGGGCAGCCCTAGCTGGCTGAGTGACCATGCAAGATACCTTCAAGCCTCAATTTCCTTGTCTTGAAAATGGGGCTTCATTCACTCAGTTCACCTCTGAGAAGTTGCAACTCAGACAGGAAAGAGCAAGGTAGGCACTTTCTCCCAAGCTGCCATGGTAGAGAGTGACCCCTTGCAGTGTTCGTGAATCACAGTCATCTGCTGGCCACTGAATTAGAGCTCACCACACTCACTGAAATCACTGATTGCCTGGGAGCTTTTGCCGTGTGTGTAGCTTGCTCTGCCAGATCTAACAATGACTTCCCTTTGCCTCCAAAAGAACATGAAACTGAAGTTCTGAAAGTGTGGCATAGGTCACTGGACTCAGACAGCTCCGGCCCCTTAACCCAGCTTTCAGGACTATAATGTTCTACTCCAGTGCAACTGTGCCCCCTTCTGAGCAGGCTAGCGGGATGGGGGACAGTGGCTACTCCCTCACATGCTCCATTTAGTGATTCCAGAAGGAATTGTGAATTAACCAAAAAAATTGATGACAGCACTTAAGAAGACTCAATGTCTTAGGGAAAAAGCAGGGAGTGAGGATATAAAATAATCACGATAAGCACAGTATCCCAGTCACTCTCTGTTATCGGAAGTGTGATGGTAATTAGAAAAGTCCTTGCTGGCCAGGCTTACCCCTTTCTGACAGGGCAGTTTGTCAGGCTACGTCTCAGGCATTTTCACAACTTACTCTTTATAGAATAGAATAGCACTTTCACTTGAGAAAAGTAAAACATGATGTGATTTTCCCAGACAGTATGGCCAGAGCCCCTTCTCTGGGTGCTGGGTCCCTTCACCAGCTGTGAAATCACACTGATGTCTCCAAACTCTCTCTGGTAAGGGAAGCAGGGGCCGCCTCACTGTCTTCTGGGGTTAACACTCACACTGCTCAACTCATGAAAAACGAGCCCAGTCTCTGAACGTCCTTAGAAAGACTGAAGCTGTACCCACAGTGGAACGTGGAGACGTTCTCACAGCAGCCACCTAGAGTCCTGGAGCGATGACAGCTGTCTGCAGTCTGTCCTGTTTCCTCTTGCTCAGTGGGATCAAGATGCATGTAAATTTGTTGAGACCAGACATGCCAGGGTCCCTATGCAAAGCCCTAAGTGTCACTCACCAGTCAGGGACGTGAAGACCATCACCACTGCGGAGAGATGCCAGGGCATGGCTGGGGACCCAGGGAGACAGCTGCCTCACGCGGGCTGAGTCTGCTGTGCGCTGCCCCCCTCCTCAGCAAGGCCGGCCAGGTCTTCTGAATGGCACCAGGATAATCCCAAGGCAGATGGGGGAACAAGAAAGACACTTCTCTTCTTTTCTCATTCACTGTGACAGCGAAGCCAAAGTCATTTTCATTATGAGGAGTAACTGGAAGGCCCTCCCACATGCTGCCCCCAGGGGGAGGAAAACCACAAGTGGCCCTGTGCAAGAGCTGGCACTTTCATCTCCACCCTCAGTGTGTGGGGGAGGGAGTGGAGCGGAAACGCGGTGCCAGTGGGGGCTAGGGGAGGGTGATGGTCAAGGTGAAGGGCAACTCAAATCATCTCAAGAGGACACGAGGTAGCACCAACTTCCTTCTCTTCTAAGTCAGGACTCCATTCTCCAATGTCTCAAGTACATTTAAATAAATGTTTTTATTGAAGTAACATACTTAGATATGAATTATATAATATGTATACCATTATATAAATTCAGTGCTTTTTTTAAACCCTGAACTGCTTTTAAGTCAGAAGAAAATCTGTCCCTGGTTGTCTCTACATGAGATAAAAGAAGGAAAAAGAGAGTTACAGATAATGCTATAGACTAGATGTTTGTGTTCCCCTGAAATTCATATACTGAAGTACTTAAGATGGTGATAATGGGAAGTCAGGTCTCCAGAAAATACTGGGGTCATAAGGGTGGAAGCCCCTCCCCTCCCAGGACATTTGTGTCCATATAAGCCCCCTCTGCGTCCTGTCATGGGTGGAGGCAGTGAGAAGGCAGCTGTTTACAAGCCAGGAAGTGGCCCTAGTCAGAGCCCAGTCATGCAGGCACCCTGAGCTCTGACTTCCCAGCAGCAGAACTGTGAGGAATAAATATCTACTGTTTAAGCCATCAAGTCTGTGCTAACTTTTTATAACACCTTGTCTAATGACCTCCTTGTTTAGTTAACTAATACCTCAAAAGGATTTCTCCACAAGGGTGGTCTTTTTTTTTTTTTAAATACACAATTTCATAATCCCTTTTCATTGGTGTGTTTAGACCGTTTGATCATTGTAGATGTTTATATCTTGGCAATTGTTTTTTTATTTTTCTCTTCTTTCTTTACCAAATTTTAGGGTAGTAATATTTTTAAAATTCTATATTATCTCATTTGTTATTGATTTAGAGTTCATATTGATAACATATATCTTTAAGCTATTACAGTGTATAATCAAATATTACTCCATTTCACATATAAGAGCCTTGCAACAATAGACTTCAATTTCTTCCCCCGATCTCTTTCTCTTGTTGCCATATACTTTAATTCTGCATAATATAAACCCCACAGCATATTATTTTTCATTTGAATAGTCTATTATCTTTTT